CAGTGTTTCTCAAACTTGGCTGTTCAATAAAATCACTAAGAAAGCATTGAAAAAAATATTGATGCCTGGGAACTTCACTCTCTGATTTCAATTTAGCAGATCAAACCTATGGCCTGGACTTCCCAAGCGATGAGAATGCAGCGCCAAGGTTACATGTTCTTTCATTTCCTCCCTTGAATAGAAGTTAAATTCCTTATCGATAGCAATAGCTTCATATATGTGTATGAAATGCACTGGGCACAAAATAGGCCCTCAACAAATAGCTACTGATTGATGTCACAGAAACTCTTCTGGGAGATGCAGGGCATGTCCTTATGGCTAGGGATTTCTTCTCCCTGGCTTGGATGGTCCAAGTTCAGAGAGGACCATCCAAGATTGAAAGGGCACATTGGTCCATGGTTCCAACAGGGCATTGAGTGGCTTATATTACCTTTCAAAATTGAAGTAATATATTGGTGAGTCTATGGCTTATCTTTCTTAGGGATGCAAAATGACTAAGATAAAATCTCACTGCAATCAATAGCCTAACTAAAAATCCACAGGGAAGAAAACTTACTTATACTATTGGAATGCCAGTTCTGATTACTGAAATTCTTCCAGTGATGATATTGGGGGTTGGCTAGTGACAGAAGTCATCTAATTTGAAGGAGGAAGAGAAAGTAATGTTTTATGCTCAAAAAGGCTTACAACATATTGAGTGTTTTATATATTCTCAGGCCTTACAAAAAATCACCAATTGGGTATTAGCATCTCCAATCTAGAGATTGGGAAGCTGAGGCTCAGAGAGGTTAGGCAACTTGCCCATGGTCACAAGGGTGGCAACCGATGAGAAGAGATGTGAACTCTTGTCTATTTGACCTTAAAACTCATAATCCCTTTACATTATCAAAATGTGACCTTGGGTCATTTAAGTGATGGCAAAGGGCATCTAAACCAAATCTTTCTATTAGGCTCTAATAAGATTTATATGCTGTCAATAAGTCAGTAGGAGAAAAGACATTCATTGAAATAAGGGATGCTGAAATGTGAATTTTTTTGTTAGTATTCAGTGGTATCTGTCAGGCACTCAGAAAATGAAATAGTTCGTGGTCTTTCTGGAATAGTTAGTGGAAAGATGGGGTGAGGTTCATCAGTGGCTTTCAAACTCTTTCAACTCGACTAATTTTATGAAAAAGAAAACCACATAAATTACATTACCCCTTGTGCTTACAGAAATTTGCTCTGAGGAAATTGTACTAAGGTATCCAAAGTTCAAGACAGGGTTCTTTGGAGTATTGCCAGTAACTATCTGTGTGATCTTAGGCAAGTCACTGCCTCTCTCTGGGCCTGAATTGACTCAAGAGAGAGAGAGAAAAAAAGAGATGGGGTATTTAAATTAACTTTAAAGGTTACAGACACTTTATTGATCTGATAAAAGCTAATGACCCTTTCCCCGGATGATGCACATAATGCATGTATGTGCACAATTTTCCATGTCCTGGTTGTTCACAGACCTTCAAAGGACCTTTTGTGGACCTCCAAAGAATACATTGACCTTTGATTTAAAGACCTGGAATATGTGATAATGGGACTGTAGTCATGTTTACAGAAAGAATCCTTATCTTTTAGAGATAAAACCTGAAATAGTTATGGATGGAATTTGCATTAAAATGATCCAATATGTGTGGGGAAGGGTGGGTGGTGGCGGGGTAATAGATAAAAGAAAATGGCCCATGAATTGACAATTGGTGAAACCAGGTGATGAGGTACATGATGGTTTTTGCTACTCTTTTCTCTATTTTTGTGTATGTTGAAATTTTCCATCATAAAATAAATTCGCAAAATAAAAATTATACGTAATTTAAGAAAAGACTTGGAATAATTGATACCTAGTGTCCCCCATTCTAATAGTCTATGATTTTGCATTACAAATACTCTGCAAAGAAAATGGACCTCTGGAAATATTTCATTTACTCAGGTCATTGAATCATCATCATTCTTCTTCTAACGGACCCTCTGACTAAAGGGTTTGTTGCGGTCCCATTTTTCCAGATGATTTTGTGATATTCCATTTAAATACTTCCATAAATATACTTTTGGGGAGAGGGTAGCAAAATCAAATGCAAAGAAGCTGAACAAGAATTGTGTTTAAATCATTTTGCATGATAATGTGGCTCAATTTATTTTCAAATATTTCTTAAGATGGGAAGACCAAAAAAACAGTTGCAAATGACTTTAGTGGCATGAAAAGTACTTAGTTAAGACGTTAGGTGAAATGAGAGGTTTAAAAGAGTGCACAAGTCTGAGAGACAGTTGCATTGTGGTTGAGAACTAGTATTCCACAGCCATGCTGCCTGGGTCCCTGTCCTCGTTATCGCTCAACTATGTGCTCCTGGGTAGGTAACCTAACCTGTCTGAACTTCTGTTTCTTTATCCATAAAATGGACATAATAGTACAATCTCCCTCATAGGGTTATTGCGAAGCGTCCAGTTGTGCTTGACATATGACAAGTACTCAGTAGATGTTCCCCATCGTTCCCTCAACTGTGTAAATATAAAAATAGATGAAAAAAAAAAACCCCTAAAGATATAGGTCAAAATATTATCAGTTGTTGCCTCTTCATTGTGACCAATGGGTGACGATTTTTCTTTATTTTTGTCCAGACTTTTCAAAATTCTACAAAAAGAAGTTTTTACTCTTATAATCAGAGAAAAAAATTTTTTTAAAAAGGACTTTTTAAAGTCTTGAAAAATGTTGATGCCCTGAGGGGCCTAAACCATGCTTGTCCCATACAGTATTTTGACAAACAAACCGCTTAAGAAGAGAGTAAGATGGAAAGATTGCTAACATGATGCTCACATTTTCTTCACCAGGCTCTCATCTACAGGAAGATTCTTATCAATGCCAACGAGCCTTCAAATGTGGCATTTCACAGCCTTCCTCTGCTTCTGCTCCGTGCCATCCTGCCTCCTCACCACACATTCCTCCACACCAGCAGGTTAGCCTTTTGGAGGGGTGTGGAGAATATCACAAATGCCATGCCAAGAAAAATTCATTCAGGCACACTATTTTGTATTTAGTTTCCAGGGGTTTATGCCCGCTCCCCCCCCACCCCACCCCCCTGCCCAGCCCATCTCACTGATTAAGAACACCTAAGCCGTGGCAACATATTTAGGAATGTATAAACACACTTCAGGCATGTAGATCCCTTTGAGAAAAATCGACATGTACAAATTTGAAACCATAAGTCAGATAAATGAGTGGATAGTTACGGGTATTAAATATATAATTTAGGGCTTACCAAAGAATTTACATTGGGATATCTAAAAATAGCAAACACACGGTGTGTTTGCCCCATGCTGCTGTATTACCCAAATGCAAAGCCTTTTCCAGAACACACCTATGCAGAGCAACAGGCCCAATTCAAACAGGCCAGTTTCACTCCTGAGTTTAGCTACATTCATTTATAGTGTTCTAGACCACCTTTGAAACAGCCACTAGCCTATGTCGCTTAGGTGACTGACTGATGGCCAAGAATGGACAAAGATGAGACTCCTAGAAACTTCTGGTCAGAGAAGAAGTGGTACACGTGTGTGGGTTGTGCAGCTGCTTTGGAGTGGATCATTTGCGATGAGATGGATCCCATCTCCTTTTCTCGGGTAGAAAAAGGATGAACATTCATTGATTCCTTATTCTATACAGGGGTAGACTTTAGGTCATCTCACATGTTCTGTAGAATGACTCTAGAAAGTGAGGATTTTGCCCATATTTCCAATCGAGTTTTAGAAAAGTTGACATGCATGACCCAGGTCAGCCTTTTATCAGAAAAATATTAAATTAAAATAAGAATAACGCAAAGCTCTCTGTCTTGATACCATCTTGGATGGTTAACTTCCGGAGACTGGAATATGTACAGTGCTCAGCCGTCACTTAAACTGACAGACATTTAGCTGTGATTTTGATCCTGCTGATGTGTCAGTGGCTTCCATGGGAGTGTGGGAAGGGAGGCAGAGAGAGGACTTTTCCTTGCCCCATCTGACCTGCTCCCCAAGCCAACACTGCTCCTTTCCTTCACTCCTACACAGGACTGCTCCCCGCCTCCCCACCGCCCCCATTCCAAAGGTGCTTGGGCAACTCGTAAAGAGATCTGCATAAAGAGCCAGGAACCCTGCACTTAGAAAAAATAAAAACCTGTGTAACTACAGACTCCATGTTTCGGTCTTCGCTCCAGGCTGAGATGCGATTTGGCATCTCACTGCTAGCAGCGGCATTTTACTTGATCCTCTTCCAAGATTTCCACACATGTACCTGGCACTCACGAGAGTTTCAGAGGAAGCATAACAGTTGACAGGAGAAGTGCTGCGGGCTTGGTTGTGTGTATGTGTGTCAGTGTAACTCTCATATAAGCAAATGAAAGTTCTTCGAGTATTAACTTCCAGCAGAAGAGCATCAACTTTGCCGCGAACGTGGCATTTCCCCTCACCTAGTTTCCCTAAAATGAGCAGTTTTTGAAGTTAGCGGCAAGCCCTGTTAAGCAAAAGGTCTCTGAGACCCTTGGGATACAGACAACCTTTGCTGGCCTGCAACTGCCCTAGCTTTTCTGGAGGAGTCGCCCTGGGCTACTTACTAGTAGTTCTTCAGCCTTCAGAAGCCGCCTAATACCCATATGCGTTTGGGCACAAACAGGCAGAGAACAACCAAGCCACCACCACCCAAGAAAGCGATCTCTGAACACAGAGTCAATATGAATTGAATGTGCTCGCGGGGTAGAAGCCCAGCGATGCCTCGGGTCTGTGAGGGCGAGGAGGCTGGGTCCACAGGAACGTGGTCCAGCATCGCTAGCAGCTAGTCCTGCCGAACACTCAGGTCTCAAGGGAGGAATAGTCCTTGAACAGTGGGAGAACTAGAGACACTTCTCAGCCTCCGGCGCCAGGGCCAGTTGGAAGGAAACAAAGGTGGACAGAGAGAGGGAGAGAAGGAGAGTGAGTTTGTGTTCTCCTGGGGCAAGTGCGCGCGGTACCTTGGATTCCTGGCTGCTGGTGGATGCAGGCGAGGGCGGCTGCTCGGCGCTCGCCGCCTCCTTGGGCAGCCCATCCACGCGGTCCTCGCGGGCGCCGCTCGGAGGGATCATCGTGGCGGCGCGGGAACGGTGTTGGGCTCCCGGAGGAACAGCGAGGCTCGCCTTCCTCCTGCGCGCCCTCCGCGTGGCGCGCTTGGTCGCTCAGCTCCAGGTCCCGGGGATTCCCATCCTCACCCAGGCGCTAACGCGCCCTCGGCCGGCCTCGCCCCGACCCCGGCCCTGCCCACCTCCCCAGCAGTCCCGCGGGCAAGGGAGAGTGCGCCCAGCGTCGCCGCGCCCGCCGGCACCTCGCTGGCGACCGCACAGTCGTGACTGCCACTAGGCAGCGGGCGAGCGCGCTCGGGCTGGGGCTCGCTCGCCCCGGAAAAGCGGGAGGAGGGAGGTGGCTCCGGGGCGGGGCTGCGCGTCCAACGCCGAGGTAGCGAGGGCAGGCAGGGGACGCGCGGGCGAGAGCCTCTGGGCGCGCACCGCCCGGAGTCAAGGGTGGTTCTTTAGCAGGGAGAGTGAAAATTCAGACGAAACCCCGAATGAACAGAATACCCGTGAAATGATTCAGCCAGAAGGAACCACCTGCAACAACTCCCTTTTTCCTCACTCTGAGAAACAGCGACTCTAAGGGAGACTATGACTTAGCTAAGTTATTTATAGGGTTTAGTGACGGAGATCAGGCACCGAAGCTGGGGTTCCCCGGCTTGAGGACACTCCCCCACTCAGCTTTCCCCCATTCAGCTTTGGACTAAAGTAGACAGAGAATGCAATGGGTTTGTGTCCTCATTTTGTTGTGCAAATTATGTACTGAGCCCTTCGCTCATTTAAATGAAAAATTCCTATCACTCCCATCTTATAAGTGAGAAAACTGGGGTTTTAGGGTGTCTAATTAATTTGCTTTAAGTCACAGAGGTATAAATGATGGCGCTGGGATTGGAACCCATTTTGTCTTCAAAATCCATGTGTTTTGGACTATGGAGTCTCAAATCTAGGCCAGGTCTTCATAGCTGTAGAGCAACTGGGGTGTTGCAGTGTGGCAAGGAATTTAGGGCTGTTCACAGGGAGGCAAACCATTCTGCCTTAATAAATAGATCTTTTAGAAACATAGAGATGACCCCATTGGATAAAGGGGCAGAAGGATCCAGTATTTTTTGAAGACCTAACTATGTAGAAAAAGGAAAATACATCTGGATGTTTAAAAGACTCTCCCCACCCCCAAATCAATACAAAACTGCCTCCTTAACTTTCTAGCAGAAAATTGCAAACCTAAGTCTAGATTTTCTTATTGCTGTAAATGTTTACAAGGCCAGCTTCATGGATATGCAACCTGTGCAAATCACGCAGGGTCTTGCACTTGGTTTAATGCTCTTCCGTTGCTGTCTTGAAATTTTTAATAATTTTTAAAGAAGTGGCCATGCATTTTCATTTTGCTCTGGACCCTGTGAATTATGTATCTGGCCCTGCATGTTTGCCTTAGCTCATGCCCTTTGGAAAGAATCTACTACTCTTTCCATCCCGGACATCAATTGAAAAACTCCTATTCTAAGCGACAGCCTCTTACTCAGCATTTGGCTCTCAGAGTGCTTTAAATACCACAGGGACACATAGCCTATCATTTGACCATGCCAGAATGGTTAACCCTATGGCCACAGCTTTTTCCGCCTCAAAACACAATTCCTGGTTGTTCGACAGAGACAAAATTCTAACAGCCGAATTCGTAACAGCAGCAGAGCACACAATGACAGGAACAACAGTATCAACATATCTTTATCAAGCATCTATTTTGTACTAGAGAATGTGCTAGAAACTAATGGCATAACAGAGAGAAAACATAGATTAAGTCTGTTCTCCTGGGACTTAGAGCCTGATGAGAGATTAAGTAAATAACAAATGTACATGCACACACACACATACACATTTTTCATGAACTGTGATAAGGAAAAGTACGGATGTGAGACCTGAACTAGTGTGAGGCCAGGGAAGAGTTTCTGAAAAAGAGAAGCCACCAGGGTCTACTAGCAATTCTAATCTTGGTGAGCAAGCTCATTGTGGTTTACAACAAGAAAATTTTTATCTTTGGATTTTACTTTATTTTTAAGAATTAAAGAGGAACTATATTATGTCGCCCTCAATTTTAGTAAATGCTTAGCTCTAATTAACAATAGTCGTTAGCCAACAGCATATATTTAAATGTCGTTCCCTTGAAAGACATTTTAAAGAAGGCTAGTATATTCTTCCTTCTCTTTTGGCCCTTATGATAGAAATCCTTAGTCCGATAAATAATATTTACCTTTTCTAGGAAATTGTGGAACTACCTGTAGTTTCCAAAACTGACCAAGACTTTGTTCATGTATTTCGTTCACATAAGTCGTTCTCCATTCCGTTTTCTGTTATCTAGCTAACTTTTCTTATTCTTCAGAAAACACCTCCAAACATTTATTATTCTTGAAATCTCCTTCCTTGACCCTTTTAATTTGATTTAAATTCTGAAACCAATGCCATGTCCTCATGGCATCCTCCCCTAAATAATCAATGATGAAGTTGCCTGTCCTCCCACAGAGCTATGAGCTACACCCACAGGGCAGGGACCATGTCATGCCCATCTTATTTCCTCAGCCCCTGGGATACTGTTTGTTAACAAGATGGTGCAAGGAGACTGCCCTTGTACCCTCCTGAGCCTTAAAGTGGCCCTGGCATTAGTTATGTCCAGTGCCCTCCATACACTGAATGGAGAAAGACACTGGATGTTTCTTGAAAGCAGTGGGGTTTAAAATTACACAATCTCCTTGATATTAAGGATTTTGACTTTATTGGTTTAATGGAGAATCTTAAACTGAGAGTCATGGCTGTCTGTGAATGTAGGGTTCATCGATTTGCATGGCGGTAAAGTGTCTGCAATAAGAACTTCAGGTTCAAAGCTCATCTCTAAGAACAGGAGTGGAAGTGGACAGGCTGCTGCTTTGCCTGAGTCTGTAGGGAGAGGGATGCTGGCAGACATGAGTGGCACTGTATTTGTGTAGGAGACCCGGAGGCTTGAGTCACACTCACTGCTGCTTTAGGACTAGTTGACCATGCTGATTCCAAGTCCTGGACGGAAGAGTGTCCTCCCATGTTGTCATGAAAGCTATCCTGACCTGGTACTGAGGGGACATTGATATATTGATAGAGATGCCCAGAGGACAGTGGAGAGGACTGATGGTCTCCAGGTACTGGAGGTCAGTGGATGTAGACCAGCAAAGTGATTCCTAGAGAACACTTGATAAAGCACTGACATTGCTGAGCAGAAGTGTACTTTTTAATGGCCCCATGTGAGATACCACCTCAGAATTACCAGGTATACTAGCAGTGAGACCTCATGGAAAACTGGAGGTCCTACATTAACAGGGGCAGTGACTTTTTAGCTATGGTTGTCAAGATGACCTCATTTCTACCGTAGGCTGGTGAACCTTGGGGAAATTCACATTGCAAATAATTACCCTAAGTCTTGAGTCTATATCAGGATGCTGTGATTTTTGTAGCTTCCTTTCATGGTCCATTTCACTCTGGTTTCTGGTTAAATATCAAGACAACAGAAGTGCACAGTATGCAGAAATCTCTCTTCACAAACTTGAACTAGAAGCTCCCACTCCTGGGTCGTTTACTCATTCATTAAGTTGTAAGGAGGGCAAAGCTTTCCTCCTGATCACATGCAACTGCCTTTTGCAGTAACACTGCTGAGCAGAAAAGTGTATAATGTGTTCAGCCTTCTATCATTACTCTGCTACAAGTGTGGATAAAAAGACTGGACTTTCATTCTGGGGACTTTGGCTTCTTCGAGAGCCATTTGGTAAAGAGATGCTATCAAGACTACTTAAATAAATCATACTTACAGAGGGTACAAAAAGAAGAACAAGGAAAAGGAAGATGTGAGATAATCAGAATGTCCAGGAAATGGAGAACTGGCAAGGAACAAGGGGAGAGCATCTCAAGGAAGAATTGGTTCTCAATGTCTGATGCATCAGAGTTATCATGGTGACAAGAACTATGAGAAAGGCTTAGGGTTTGGCAATTAGATTGTTGATTATAACAAGAGCTTATACGTATTAGGTTTCGACAATGTTATAAGTATTTTCCGTTAAGCGATTTCATTTAATCTCTACAAAAACTTGACAAGGTAGAGAAAATTATCCTAGGTTCTACAGTGAGCATGGAAACAAAAATTTGAACTCAGACATATCCTACTTCTGGGCCAAGTTTTGGTCACTTTGCTCTGGTGCTCCCCAGACAATGGCAGAACCCAGAACTGGTGAAGAGGCCACAGGCTTTAAAAGGGAAGGAATGATGCAAATTGAGAGCCAAGGGCATCATAGAAGGCACAGGGAGAGTCCTCAAAAACTGAAGAGGGGCCCACTCCACTGTTTTACCTTAAAAATAAGTAATAATCAGGTCTACACTTAGAAGGCGATAACCAAAAAGTTGAGACAAACTCAGCAGGAGGCATGGACCGTTACCATTTAGCCTGTAAAGAAGAGTCAGGAATCACAGCATTGTTGTCACCTTCTGACTACTTTGCCTAACGTACCTGTCTTTGAGCCCTGAAGAACCAAATGCTTTGCCCAAAGTCTTATAGCTAACGATCATCACCACTGTCACCACCAGTGCCGGACTGTTGTTAATGCCGGACTGCAGTCCTCACAGCAGCTCATGATTGATCTCTGCTCAGCAGCAAAGGTAATAATTTCATTTGAAGACTCATATTATCAGGATGAATGAGATCCAGCTTAAGCATCTTTAATTTAGTTTTCTAAATACCAATCAATAATAATAATAGCAATAACGATAGAAAATCATATTTTAATAGCTCTGACTGCATGGAATTATCTCCCACTGGAAATTCCTAGAAAAAAGCAGCAAGGCCCAAGCCACATGCAATTGCTTTCTGGTTAAGATTTGGCTCTTTCCTGTAAAGACAGAATTCATGGGCTGCTTCTAATTGGCTATAACCTCTATGAGATGGATTGGGGTGGGGCTTGAATCTTTTATTCTACCTTTACTGTAAAGGCCATGAATCTAAACTCCAAACATCCCAGCTAGTCCACGTAAAAGTGGCAAGATCTTAACTGATTAATTCTATCTCAGTCTTGGTTTCCTCAAACCTAAAATGGGATAATGATCCCTATTTCATAGAGTTTCTATAAGGATTAGAGGATTAAATGCCCGGGTCTGATAGTATTATTATTGTTTTTGTTTTGTTATTATCATTAGTCATAGGTTTTGGTCAAATACATTTAGTTTGAGTTATATTTTTGGTTCATCACAGCCAAATGCATATACAATATCAAAAGTGGATCTCTTCTACATTTCTAAAATTGTT